ATCCTCCTGATTTCATGTGATGGCACACACACTGTCTTGTATCTACCAAACGACAATTGAACAAAGGAGTTCCTAAGGAAGAGGGATGTGGTTTTCTAGATCCAGCATGGACATTTCTGACACTACCTTGAGCCTGAGGTAATAATTATGACTGGAATTTCAAGAATTTTGGCATGGAATAATAGTGTGGGCTGGCATGGTGGCTAACATGATCAACACACTGGAATCGTAAACCCACTTCACCAGCCATACCTGTAACAACCTTGCAGAAACAGGTTCTGCATAGCTTACAAGGCTGTTTACCCCATACATCAGAGGTGAAATCTTTTTACATAACTTTCATTGGGTAATGCTTTGGAAGCACACTATTCATCATAAAAGGTCACCTCCTTCTGATGACTCACCTCCAGCATGGCTGTATATTTCTTAAGATAAGTCAAGTGATGTCTTCAGAGGTTTAGACAGCATCCAATCTGAGGCCAATACCAAGTAACATGCTTTACAATCCTTCTGACTTTGTACTTGCAGCAACCTGGCATACACCAGTCTGAAAATGCAATGCAGGGTGTTGTTATCTGATGTAGTGCACACACAGGGGCAGATAATAGGCATGAATCCAGTGTTATCTTAGGCCAATCTGTTTCTAGTTATCCGAGGGCTTGTGGCGTTCATGGGGACTTAAATGTTAATTGGCTGGGCACTGGGGGGGGGGGGGGGGGAAGAGGGCATACATTTATTGGCCTGGCTGATGCCTAACCATAGGAAACTAGGCATGGTACAAGGTAGCATTTAGGTGCCATCAACACCTCAGGCCCCCAATTAAATAAGAAGACCCAAGACCCATAGGGACAGTGCCTGAGTGATGGAGCGATGATCAAGGATGCCAAGGCTGATAAACAAAAAGACTCCATACAGGGTCCTTGCTTAAGCACAGGGCTCTCCACACAGACAGGGAGAATCCAAGACCAATGTATGCACATTAATTACCTTGAGGGATGAAGGGCCTCTTGGCAGATAAATGAATAGGGCCTGACAACTGATAACAGCATAGGGTCATCAGAGCAAATATAATGTGCCCAAAACTAGTGTAGAAGCCTCTGCACAATTAGGAGTGCCAGGCAGGCTAACAGAAAGAGCCCTGACAAGATTCCCTGGCCTCCACAGGTAAGATTGAATGGAACAACCCCTGGACCTATCTAGAGGGCCCTCAAGCATCAGGTGCCTTCTAGAGGGCCCTCAAGCACCAAGTGTTTGCTTACATGCCCCCCCCCCCCCCCACCCCACAGCAAAAGCACAGGGCCCTCAAGGCTCAGAGCAAGTGGAAAGAACCCAAGACCAATGTGAATGGCCCTTGACCAACCAAGAGCGCCCCAGCAGGTTAACATAAGCTCCCTGTAATAGTGCATATAGTCTTTCAGACAAATAGGAGGAATCCATCATATGTGCCTGATCAATCACGAGTGCCCAGGCAGGTTAGCATATGGGGACCAAGAACCATGTATGGCTTTCTGAGCAAATGCAAATAAATCAAAGGCAACATGGAAAACTCCTTAGTAACATCATCAGCCAATCACAAAGATGTAAAGGGCCCTACAAGAGTACATGGTCTGGCCAGGCTATGAGCCTTAAGACCTTCCAATCAACACCCTACACATCAGTTCTCATGTATGTATGCCCATAGGTCCTCCACCTTTGCTTGTGGCTCTTCTTGATAACCTGATGGCCCTAGGACATCTAATTTTGTTGTGCTATGCATTTGTAAAGAAACTGTCTATTTGGCCAGCTATAACAGCACATGGCCTCCTCAGGACCCAAGCAGGGGCCATGACTTATGGTGCCTGAATCTGTGACTAGCCCAAACTGTCAGCACTTACCCAGCACCCCACATACATAATGCTCATAAATTAGCAGACATGCCCATAGCAGGCCATATGCACCTATTCAGCTTTGCAAATCTTGGGGGACTTGTGGCTGTCCACCACAAGTTTCAACCTTCTAAAACCCCTATCCCTAGTTTGCAATCTGGGGTCTGTATGAGGGACATCTTTCATTTACAACAATGAAATTACAACATTTACACAGAAAAAAAGTGAAAGCATTTAGATGTTCATCGTTATTTTGAGCATAGTTGAACAATGCTTAAGCGGAACACAATGAAATCATTTAAAACGCAAGATCCCACTGTTATCAATCTTGGGCCATGCAACTCTTAACATTGCTGATTCTTGAAATGTGTACATGGTGACGACGCATCTGTGCACTAATGTGTACCTACCCCTCCCCCAGTGCCTACCTCTCGCAAGCCCCCACCGCCCTGCCCTCCCCGAACTTTCTAAACCACCTGCCCCTTCGCTCAAACTCTACATGTTACACACACACACACACACAGCCTGCCTGAGCTGGAAACGCCTCAATTATCTGCTCTGTACGATGAGCACAAAATATTGCACAAAAGCCCTACATGACCAACAAAAGCAAATCAAAGGTTTGCTGTTTCAACCCCTTTCAAAGTCCAATCCCATCATTGGTCCAAACCTGGTGACGCATGCCGGTATCATTGATCCAGATCACTATAATCACTTACAAGTCCTGAAGTTTAACCATAATGTATGATGGAACAGTTTATCACGTGAATCAGAATGCATTCCGACTCAAAAATGTTACGAAAGATGCATGAACCCGTGTAAATGAGAAGTTTTAGGGCAGTTTCAACAAACTATTGCTGCACCCGAGGCTATCTAATAGTTGCCACCCAAGGCCATTGTTGCACCATTGGTTGTACCCACCGGACGACTTACTTTGTCCATCACTATTGTGTAGAGTGACACGGCGCGGCTGCGACAAGTACTGTTTATGGTGTGCCGGGGATTTTTTAGGCTTGGTATTTAGCGACACTTTTTCAAGATGGCGATAATTCAGCCATGGTCGCCATGTGATTGTCTGGGTAAGGCATCTTTGAAATGAACATTGGTGTTAGAAAAGACGGAATATGAGGTGATAACCTGGTGAGGATTAAATAGACTTCCTCTGCATTATCTCACTGTTTACATAACACTATGGTGCAACTCAGTGATATTGGATGTCCTCCCAAGTTAAGGAGGAGGTGGATAATCGGTAACAGAAATGTGTTTATCCAATTTCAGCCATCTCCCAGATGTCCAAAGGACCAATTCTCACTGTTAAGCCACCATTTTAGTTTCTGCACCTGTAACCGAAAAGGTACCAGTGGTGATACAGATGAGATTGGGTTTGCAGTATAGTTGTAAATTAAGTCACTATAATCTCTTCAAATGCATGCCACCTTTGCTGACTCAGTGAAGGCAGCAGCAGCAAGCAGCTGACTTACTCAGGGTAACAAAAATATTGGGTAATACCAAGCTGGTGCTACTGTGCTGACCCTTTTGGCTGATTGTGGCTGTCTGGCTGTTCTGGATTAAGAATTTGGCAATGAATTGTTTGCATAAGAATATACTGCTGTGGTTTAGTTTTAATGTTCAACTGTATATGCACAATGACAGAAAGAGTATGGTAATTTGTATTACAGATTAATTTTAACTGAAGAAAAAGAGGTAGAAATTTGAGTTGTTTTATTCAAAACATAATTGGAAATTATATACATTATGTCAATCAGCTTGTCATCTTACCCTACATGTCATCTGAGAAAAAGTCTTTGGTAGTACCATAATGGTACCAAAAACACTGTTTTGATCACGGACTATGTTTATGGACCCATGAATGCTAAGCAGAGAGCTAGTGTGTTAGAGAGGCTGATTTCATCATTTTAACTGCTACTAATCTAAGTAAGAACCAGCTCATGGTATAAAATTAACAAACATTTCAGTCCACAAGGGCAGATTAGGTCCTTGGACAGGTAATGTCTGCACCCAAGAAGTATTAGGCTGGCTCTGTTGGGTTGGCTTGTAATGTGCTGTGGTGGTTTGGTCTTGTGGTCTGACCTATAAATAGCATTAGCACCAGTGATGTGTTGTGATGGCTTATGTGTATTGCATGAGATTTATATGGGGAAAGGCATTGACTCATTGCAGTTTTCAGTGGTAAAGGAGTGTAGAGTGCATGAACACACAAATTTGTGCATGCTGCCATATTGTGCACCTTAGTGCATGACAGTCTAAATGGAAAAAGATTGTCATACCAGTTTTTATGGAAAGGGATCATTATATGCAAAGAGTACCAGGATATTTACATACTCCATTGATTTGGGATATGCATTTGCTTCCCTTTGTTTCAAACATTTTGTTATTAATTTCACTGCATTTTATTTGTCAAGGGCTGGTTGCTGCTGCGATTGCTGGCTCAAAGGCTATCGGTATTTGTACATATGGTAATTACTACCTTTTATGTCATTGGAAGAATGTGTGCAACATGCAGTTGGGTTCCCCATTATTTTCATCTTTTGATTGCCACCTCACATCCATTCAGTATTTTTGGAAATGCTTGCTGCCTTGGGTAATGAAAAAGCTGGTGCACAGGGCCCAATTGTGTTGTCAACAAGTCAGGTATCTGCTGTGGAAGCATTACCAGCAACCCTCATTGATTTTGTTAATTCACAGGCATGAGCCAGTAAGTGGTGGTGTGGTGACACCTGCGGAGACACCACACAGCAAGGGCCATGCCGCGTCAGAAGCAGGCGGCCCCGGCGCGTCGCACGGAAGAGGAGCGCGCTGCCGACTCGTGGTCGGGTCAGGACCTGCTGCTGCCGGGCGGCGACGCCTCGGCGGCTGGGCCGGCGGCGCCCGACCGGGCGGCGCCAGGCGAGCGGGGCACCGCGGGGCTCGGTCGACCCGCCGCGGGCTCGGAGTCGCCCGATCTGTCCGCCGACAGCGAGAGTGGGTCGACGCTCAGCGACAACGAGGTGATTACTCTGAGCGACGATGACGACGGCGACCAAGTGATCACGCTGAGCGACGGCTCCGACGGCGGCGCTGCGGCCGCGGCGGCGGTGACGCCGGCCCGGCGGCGATCGCGCGCCTCGCGCGGTGATGCCGAGTACGACCGGCTCGCCGCCGAGCTCGCTGAGTTCGACTTCTACGTGCCGGTGGCGGCGGGGCGCACCGCGTGCTCGTCGCCCGCGCCGCTCGGCTCCCTCGAAGTGGTGCTCGCGGAGCCGGTACCGACCCTGCCCGACGCCGACCAGTTCTGGGTGTACGTGAGCGGCGAGCAGCGGCGCGCCGTCCTCTACTTCGAATGGAAGGTGCGCGGCGACGGGACGCGGGCGCGCCAGCGTGTGGCGCGCACCGCCTGCTTGGAGGCGGCCGCCGTGCAGCGAGAGCCGGTGTGGCGCACGCTCTCCGGCTGCGGCGGCGCCGTGGAGGTGGCGCTGCGTCACTATGAGCCGACGTCGGGCGTGCTGACCCTGGGTCTGCTGCTGGCGGAGCGCGTGTTCGTGGAGCTGGCGCACCCGAGCGAGGTGCCGCGCCGCGCCAACGCCGCGTTCCGCGCGCTGATGCGCCAGCTGTTCGGCCTGCCGGGCCGCGAGTACGAGTTCCGGCCGTTCGGCCCGCTGGACGTGGAGGCAGTGTACGGCCGTCTGACGGAGCAGCGACAGCGGGCGGCTGCCGAGCCGTCCGACGAGCCGCTCCCGCCGGACCCGCAGCACCCGCAGCTGCTGCCGCGCCTGCGGCCCTACCAGCGCGCCGCCGTCGCTTGGATGCTGCGTCGCGAGCACCGGCCGCCAGCCGATCCGGCCCAGCTGCACCAGTTGTACGTGCCGCTGCCGCTGGGCGGTGCCACCGTCTACTACTGCCCGCTCGGCGGCTGGGTGGTGCGTGAGCGACCGGCGGCGGTCAGCTCACCGCCCGGTGGCATCCTGGCCGACGAGATGGGCCTGGGAAAGACGGTGGAGATTCTCTCGCTGGTACTCACCCATACCCGTCAGGACGTGGAGAAGGTGGAACCCCGGGAGCCAGTGGACCTGCTGGCGTACGAGGCGTCCGTCAAGTTGGAGGAGGCGTCGAAGCGGCGGCGGCGGCCCAAGCGGACGTGGTCGCCGTCCGACTCTGAGGATGACACGCCCGCTGGGATGGGTGGCCAGGCCGAAGGTCGTGCCGCCAGGCGCGCCTCGCGCTCCGCCGTCAATGGAGGCGCGCCGGGGGAGCGTCCCACCCGGCAGAGTTGGGCTTCCGGCGGAGAGGCCGACGCGTCCTCGGACGACGACGACGACGTCGTGTACGTGGCGCCCACGGTGAGTCGCGGCGAGCGGCTGAAGCGGAGGCAGGCGCTGCTCGGCGAGCCGGACAAACCGCGGGTGGAGGCAGCCCGCGCCGCCGCCTCCCCGGTCACCCCGCAGCCGCGCCAGAAGGCGACCGCCAAGCCGTGCTCTGGCATCCCAGATGACGACACCGTGGCCAATTGTATCGAGGACGTGATCGTGCGCGAGTGCTACGGCGGCGCGGCGCCCAAAGACTATGTGCGCGGCCTCGGACTACTGCCGCACTGGGCTGAGTTCTCGGAGCGGTTGATGGGCTCGGGCAGCGACTCTTCGCCGGAGGCTGACGCCGCGAAGCAGGAGAAGGCCAAGGCGAAGCCGGAAGAGGCGGACTCGGTCGCCGACGCCATCGAGGACGTCATCGTGCGCCTCTGCTACAACGGCCGGCCGCCGGCGCGGCACCGGCGCGGCGTCGGCGTGGTGAGGGCCCCGCGCGGCCGCCGGTCCAAGGCACCGCCCTCAGACACTAAACGGCTGGCGCAGCTGCACTACGAGAACGTGCTGGCTGAGATGTCGCCGTTGTGCGCACGGCCGCCGGCCGAGGAGGTGGACCCGAGCTTCTCGTGCCTCTGCGGCCGGTGGCGGGACCGCCGCTACCGCGTGCAGTGCGGTGCGTGCGACACGTTCCAGCACGCCGCCTGCGTCGACTATAAAGTGGAGGACCCGCTGCGCGGTCCGTACTGGTGCCCGCAGTGCTGGACCCGGCGGCCGCCCGTGCGCTCGGGCGCCACGCTCATCGTCTCGCCCTCGTCCATCTGCGACCAGTGGGTGCAGGAGATCGGCAAGCACATCCGGCGCGAGGGCCTGCGGGTGCTGGTGTACGCCGGCGTGCGCAGCGACCGCTACATCCAGCCACAGACACTGGCATCGCACGACCTGGTGGTGACCACGTATACGGTGCTGCAGCGCGAGCTGAACTACGCGGCAGTGGGCCGCGCCGGCGGCCAGGCCGGCAAGCGGCGCGTGCAGCGCTACCTGCCGCCACCGACGCCGCTGCTCTGCGTCGACTGGTGGCGCGTCTGCCTGGACGAGGCGCAGATGGTCGAGTGTCCGACGTCGCGCACGGCCGAGATGGCGCTCAAACTGAGCTGCGTCAACCGCTGGTGCGTCACGGGCACGCCACTGAGCCGCAGCGTCGGCGACCTGTACGGCCTGCTGCTGTTCCTGGGCGTGGACCCGGTGTGGTGCGAGCTGTGGTGGAACCAGTGCGTCTACTACCCGTACCTGCACGGCGAGTTGGCGCCGCTCGACCGGCTGCTAGAGCGCTGCCTCTGGCGCACGGCCAAGGCCGACGTACTGGACCAGATCGAGGTGCCCGAGCAGTCCGAGCGGCTCGTGCTGCTCGACTTCTCGCCGGTCGAGTCCTACTTCTACCGGCGCCAGCACGAGGAGTGCTCGCGCGCCGCGCTCGCCCGGCTAGCGGCGCTCGGCGACGACTCGCTGCAGCTGCACGACATCGAGCGCTCGGCCGTCAACCAGCTGCTACACCCTCTTCTGCGGCTGCGCCAGGCCTGTTGCCACCCTCAGGTGGTGCGCGGCCAGTTCATGCCGCTGCACAAGTCGACCATGACGATGGAGCAGCTGCTGGAGCAGCTGATCCGACGCGCCACCGCCGAGGCCGAGGAGGCGCACCGGCAGCGCACGGCGGCGGTGCACGGTCTGGCCGCGCTGCACGTGGAGCGCGCCGAGTGGGAGGCGGCCGCCGACCTGTACCGCACCGTGCTGCGCCAGGCGGACGAGCTGCGGGACCGGCTGCAGACCGACATGCTGCAGCGGCTGCACGCGCTGCACAACCTGGCCGAACTGGTGGCGGCCGGCCGGCCCATCCCGCCCACCACGCGTGACCACCGGCTGCGCGCCGAGGCGGCCGAGCTGCGCGCCGCCTACGTGGGCCGGCACTCGGCGGCGGTGACGGCGGCGCGCGCCGCCGCCGCCGAGCTGACGGCCGAGGCGGACGGGCACGCGGCCTCGGATCGACGCCAGCGTGCGGCCTTGGTTCGCGGCCGTGCTCGTGCGCTGGGCCGAGGCGCGGCCCGGCGAGCCGGTGGAGCGTGTCACGCAGCAGCTGCGCGACCTGTCCAACGCCGACGGCAACGCCGAGAAACAAGTGGACACGGGCGTCACCAAGCGCACCACGACGCTGAAAGGCCGGACGCCGCCCAACACCATGATCGGCCGCTTCAGCAGCGCGTCCGGGCTGCAGTGCCTGCTGGTGGCGCGTCTCAGTCAGCTGGCCGAGCTGCGTGCGCAGACGCAGGAGGCGGTGGCAGCGCTGGCGGCGCTCGAGCCCACCTGCCTGGTGGAGGCAGCCATCGATTGCCACCTGCGACCGAGCGGCGGCGCCGCCGACCACTGCCGGCTCTGCGCCGCGCACGATACCTTCCCGCTGTACGAGCGCGAGCTGTTCTACATGGTGCAGGGCCGCGTCGACGGCGGCGAGCTGAGCGGCGTTGAGGGCAAGATCAGCGTGCTGGGCGAGCTGCAGCGCGGCAACTGGGGCGACAACGAGACCGAGCGCGTGCTCAAGACGCTGCTGGCCACGGCGCGCCAGCTGGGCATGGGCCAGGAGGTGCTCCAGCTTGGCACGCACCACATCAAGATGCTGGAAGCCATGAAGAAGGAGTTCAAGAGCCTGCGCGTGCTGTGGATGCGGCTGAACGACCGCGTGTCGGCGTCGGACGAGCTGGAGATGTGCGTCCTGCGGCTGCGCGCGCGGTTCGCCGACGAGCCGGCGCCAGACCTGCCGGTCAGCCGGGGCGGCCAGCAGCTGCCCACCTACGTCATCGAGCGACACGAGGTGGAGGCGCACATGGGCCGGCTGAGGGCCGAGCGCGCCGTGGCCGAGAGTGAACTGCGCCGCAAGCTCGGCCAGTGCCTCTACCTGCAGAACCTGCAGCGCTCCGGCACCGACTTCCGCGACGGCAACCCGGACTCGTGCCCCATCTGCGAGAACACGCTGGGCGACCGGTGGAGCGTGCTGCAGTGTGGCCACTGCTTCTGCATGACGTGCGTGCAGCGGCTGGTGGAGGAGTTCTCGCTGGGTGGGCGGCGCGGCCGCCTCAAGTGCGCCATCTGCCGCGAGCTGACGCGCCACGCCGACATCGCGTACGTGAACGCCGACCGGGCGGCGCCGGCCGGCGACCCGGTGCAGGTGTCCGGCAGCCACAGTACCAAGGTGGAGGCGGTGGTGCGCTGCGTGCTCACCGTGCTGCGCGACGAGCCGGCCGCTAAGCTGCTGGTGTTCGCCACCTGGACGGACGCACTCGACCTGATCGCGGCCGCGCTCGACCAGAACGGCGTGCAGCACCGCAGCCTGCACGCGCCCAACCGGTTCCAGCGCAGCCTACGCGAGTTCCGCGGCCGCGACGACGTGTCCGTGCTGCTGCTGCCCGTGCACTCGGGCGCCAACGGGCTGAACCTGACGGAGGCGACGCACGTGATCCTGACGCACCCGGTGCTGGACCCGGGCGCCGAGCGTCAGGCGGTGGGCCGCGTGCACCGGATTGGCCAGCGGCGCGCCACTGTCGTGCACCGGCTGGTGGTGCGCGACACGATTGAGGAACGCGTGCTGGCGCTGAACGCCGGCCGGCCGGCCGCGCACGCCGCCGGCCAGGCCGAGCGCGGTCTGACGCTGGCCGACCTGCGCGAGCTCTTCAGGGATTAGTCGGGGGAGAGGGGCGCGCGCTGTGTGTGTGCAGTGTCCACTGTGTGGATGTGATGGAGTGGTGACGCTCACTGTGTCGGGGAGGGGATGGAAAGGCGTCCGTCGGGGGCCCGTTTTCCCTTTTCAGTGCTGTCTGGAGGCACTGTAGAGACAGCTGTGACCTGTGTGTTCTCTGCACTGGCAGAATGACGGGGCTGTGGAGGGGACCCGTCTCCAAAGTGACATCGAGGACACACGGTTTGGTGGTGGAGCTGGACCAAAGGTTCGCCCTGTGGCTGCAGGGGCAGCGGCACCTCTGCCCTGCAGGGACGCCGCGTCCGAGTGCGCTCTGTGGCTGACGTGTGGCCGTGAGCAGGCGGTGGCGCGCGCGCCGGAACCCGTGTCGGGCAGCTGTGATGGAGGTCTCGAGGACTCCCGCAGTTGTACACGGCCGGCTCAGCCAGACCCGCCCGCGCCGGGACCTGTGTCGGGCAGATGTGATGGAGGTCTCGACGACTCCCGCAGCTGTACACGGCCGGCCCAGCCAGGTCCGTCCGCGCCGGGACCTGTGTCGGGTGGCTGTGATGGAGGTCTCGAGGACTCCCGCAGCCGCACACGGCCGGCCCAGCCAGGTCCGTCCGCGCTGTTGCCTGGAGGCAGGGTCGTTTGAAAATCCGCCGGAGGGGCGATGCCGCCGTGTTTGGGAGGCTCAAGTGTGGATATGCCAGTTAGTTAGCTAGTCCGTAACTATGTGCCGGGAGATGTACCCAGTATGTTATTTACATTGACGGTTGTACGTATGCCTCCGGGAGGTACAACTTATTTCTGCAGAGCGGAATGCGGAATACTGATGTGTTACGCCAACAAAGTGTCAACAATGATGTGTATTTATACTCATCACACGGACGTTGAGTGCTTCACTGGATCTGCATGCTGTCTTGTGGTACCTGATTTCAGTATGACTCACGAGTCGTGCCAGTTGTTTATTTTCTTTTGCATGTTCAATAAGCTCATTGTTCATAAATGCCACCGTTTTCTTGCGAATGTCATATCCTTTACAGTGTCATACGAGGCGCTTCACGAAATACACTGCCCGTCACATGTCCGCCACAGCTTTTCTACCAGGGCCGTACATCACAATCGGCTGGCCTTTCGCGCGCGATCAGATTTGCGACTCCTTGCGGAGGGCTTTCAAAGCACAACGAATCGGGGCATAGTGCCTGGTGTGAGGGAAATGGGGCTGGCTCTCACGACCTGGTTGTGGGATTTAGAGCGGCCCAGGCGTGATTAATGTGCTGAGCTAGGGAACCGCGGTGTGCCCGCGATCGTTCAATAGACGTTTTAGCCGGGGCGGGGATGTCGCTGGGGTTCCGGTCGCTAGACTTTGGTTGGGGCGAATCGGACGCTGTTCGCAATTAACGATTTTGATAAATTAATCAGCTAATTGCCATGTCGGTTGATTGAGTCATTCCATTCTGACCACGCATGCTGACCGTGTCTCTTGGCGTTCTCACCACCAGATTGGATCATTGATGTGGTGGTTTCTCCTTTCACGCTTTTCACAGGGGCACAAGTTATGGTGTGCACGCGGTTGTATGGGGTCATAACCTCTCAGCCCCCACCCTGCCCGCCCTTCTTTCGGGCTTATTGCTATGAGACGGCTTCATTCCCCCACCGATCATCTGTGCCGGGAGTCGGGCAGTACTGCTTGTGAGCACTGCGGTGACAAATTCATGATGATCAATGATCTTTGTATTGATCGAAGGTTTTGCAAGGCGTTTGGGTCAGGGTTCTTGCAAAGTTTGGCTTGCTGCGAAGACGCTGATCTCATCGTTTCGATGGAACGATCCCAAGATAACGGACAATTTTTGTCAGCGAAGTCGATGTTCCGTGTAGTATCACAACATGGTCGCCTTGTGTAAGCCTAGCCCTAGCACGGCAACATGGCCGCCCTTTGCAATCCTAGCCCTCGCACAACAACATGGCCGCCCTGTGCAAGCCTAGCCCTCGCACGACAAGTTGTCATTTGGGCCTGTGATGAGCCCATCAACCAACCGTGCTTTCTGACAAGAGAGCCCCGATACTGCGTCCACCTTGGGAGGGGCAGGTGTCCGGCGCTGTTTCAACCCACATGCTTGCACCGCCACAAGCCGTGGTTGGCTGATCGACTGTTATCTCTCGGGGAGTCCTATCGCGAACGTTTCCGTAATGCATGCCCACATCACTTCCCAATTCTCAGAACAGGCCTGCACTTGTCTGGCTTTTATTTCAGCAAGGCCTGTGACGGCTACCATTTCGATACCGATAGCGACGCTGCGCTATGCTGCGTTCGGTTCAGTCGCCCGTCGTTTCAAGACACGTGACCACAGACACACTACGTTGCAGGTTCTGTGGATGCAGGTGCTGTGCAAATGCGAATCAGGCACTCAGCAAGGCCGTTGCTAATGGGGACGTAGGACTCGCAAGGGTGTCCGGGGGCAGCGTTGACCTTCCTGCTGCAAGTGCTTGGGCCCAAATGACCGGTGTGCCCCTCTCGGGTATCGGTTTGGCCTTGCCAGATCACCGGCTGACCCTCAGGCGCTGAATGCTGTCGGCGCTCCTGGCACAGAGCACGGCTGCCGGCAGCACGAAAAGCGCCAAGCCACGACTCTACGAAGGCGGACAGGACATGAAGGCAGAAAAATCACGAGTTCGCTAACGAGAGGTCACATTTGGCCCCGCGCTACACAATCTTAGCACCACAGACGAGCGACGATAGTCTGCAATCAGTCAGCAGCCGCACGCACCAATTGACATCGAGCGGCGCGCCAGAACCAGCACGACCTCATCACGAGACCAGCGAGGAGTCGACCTAACCCGCCTGACGCGCGGCCGCCCGGCGCCGCCCCGCCGCCGCCGCTCAGTGTGTCTTGTCGTAAGAGTCCTTCTCCTTGTAGCCTTGGACGTAGCCGTCGTTGCCGTGGACGTCCTCGCGTCCGGCGATGCCGCGGCCCTTGCCCGTCTCGTCGAAGCGCTCCTTGTGCTGGCCGGTGTAGCGGCTGGTGTCGGTCAGGCGGCCCACCGCTCCGGTAGTGACCGCCTTCTGCAGCACGCGGCACCGGAGGCGGCGGTGAACCCCGGGCCCGGCACACGAGACGCGACGGAGCGGAGCTGTCGCCGCGTGCGCCGCTCGTGCTGCAGTTAAGGCGTGTAAATATTTACACCTGGCTGTGAGGGGAGCGCCCCAGCCAATACACGATCGTTTATCGCTGCCGGGAATCAATGAGGTGGCTGACAGACTCTGCAAGTCAGAGGTGGCCCCTGAATTGACCAGAATCGATCACCATGGCGACATATGTACACAGCAGCAATGTCTGTGGCGCACGCGCAAGCAAATGACATTGTCGAATATCACTAACGCGAGATAATAACGCTGCACCATTTTGCAGAGCATGCACATGATCATTGTGATCCCTGCTGGAGGCCACGAAAGCTAAAATTATCTCCCAGGTCAGCGCACTGGACATGACATGAGAACAAAGAGGCTTGGAAATGTGCGATATACAGGAAGATTGTCACAAACCGTGGCTCCCTTTGTTCCTGGATCACCGCAGTCGGTCAGTTTGGTCTGTATTTCGTCCAGGTCCACCTTCTTGGTCGCTGCTAGGTCAGCCAGAAATGTCTTGAAGTCTTTCAAGCCGACCTTCTTCTGCCTGCGGACAGGTCATGTCACACGTCAGGTTGTGGGACGTACACTTCATTTACCATTTATTGCGCGGTTACCTGCGAGTTTAGCTCAGCGCATTTAGTATGAACCCCAATCAGCTGCAAACGGTCCAGCCATGTGAACCTGGTGCAAATTAAAAGTTCGCTTGTTTCACTCACTTGCAGTGGCCGTGTTGAGTGTGTGCGCTAACCCGCATATGATTCGCTGCGGTACTTTGTCGTCACTCTCGTGTAAACGTTCAGGCCAAGCGTCCCGTTATCGCCCCCCCCCCCCCATTTCCGGCCTGCTGAGCGGACCCCGCCCCCACGCGGTGCGGCCTACCCCACGGCGTGCAACAGGCGCCGCATGCGTGTTTGACGTCCCCTCCCCAGCCCTCGGTGCCGTGCCGTCTGCGTCTGCCGGCTCGGTTCACTACGCTGGCCGGCGGCGGCCGGAGACGGTGTTGTACTCGCGGCCGCCGTGTTACAGCCGGTCGATCGCTGCCGTGTCGCGCTCCAGCTCCTCACGCGCCGGCCAAGCTGTTTGTCCAGCCTTGGGTCGATGGGGGGCCCGCAGCCACGCTAGCAGCTGTCCGAGACCGGCCCCGCCGCGGCCGCAAAGTAACGGCACGGGCGCACCGGCGCACTCAGGACGGCGAGAGCAGACACGCCGCGACGTATCTGGTCGGCATCATGCTGCAGACCTCCAATCGAAGTGCAGACCACGAAATTACGAGGAATTTGTACGTACGGAAGGATTCTTGAGCCGAATGTTGCAAACTTCCCTCAGCGCTGCGGTTCTCTGCAGCACTCGTTCGTTCGCTGGAGGGCGGTTTCACTCATTGCAGTGCAGTTGGTTTATTTAGCCGATTGTCGTGCTGACATTTTGCTGAGTCAGTTAATAAACGCGTGCAAAATGCTCGTAGCTAGAGCCAAGGCTAACTGCTGACAGATCATCGGCCACACGGAACACATTAGGCTCGCATGCAGATCGTTCTGTCAGTAGCGTCGGATGTGAGCTATTTAGCGAGATGCAAAATTCAGCAAGATGGGCACAATTCGAGCCTTTTATAATTAAAGGAGATTACCTTACATTGAGGTGATGCCAGGCCAGAAAATAATCATGACAGGGATCGCACGTTTTCCATAATAACCGCAGCTGGTTCCAGGGCGGGTAGATCAAAGTAATAGGAGTATTATTGTAAGAACATTTTTTCTGGAGATGGATTCATCCGCACGATATTACGTTTCAAAACATGCGGTGATGCCACAACGTCCTTCCCGCTGAATCAGCTGACACTAGGCTCTCTGTTTCCGAGATGCCAACATAAAAAGCCCATTGGTAGCAATGACCGTGTGAAACAAGAAGTTTCGCGTATTACAAGATATGCTGTCGTAACATTATTCAGACAGGTGCGTAGAATAGGGAATTTAATCTTAAATTGGTAATACAGTCAAGTGCTTCGTAGCGCAGTATTAGGCAGTGCCCTTGATGACGTACTCATCTTATTCTAGAAGTATTGAGATCTACGTTCTGGCGTCAATAATTACAGACAGTGGACTTCATGAGTGGGAGCGTAGCTTCCGTCGTGATGTGGGCTATTTGCAGCCCACATAAAGAGATAAGATAAAGAGATAAGAGCGCATTTCATTTCAGGAATGAAACCCGTACAAACCATTCAATTGTTTAACGTGTTAATCTCATTTGCACATCGACAAATGATCACACATAATTACATGCTACATTATGCATGCGCTGTGTCGACATGAAACGTCCACGCAAAACCATGCAAGTTCGGCGGCTCCCGGACAAAACCTGTGTCATTGACTCGTGCTCTGCCTTACTTGAGCTTCCCAAAGTGGATGCCAGTGTCCGTGGTGGTGAGGCTCTTGGTGAACACGCCCGCCTGTTTGAACCACTTGTCGATGTTGGAGAGCGTGATCTGCGTCACCGGCGACGCCGACGCCTGACTGTGGGTGATGCCGAAGCCGCAGAACTTCTTGAACTGCGACTCCAGCGTGGGCGCGGTCATGATGGATCGCAGGGTAGCCGCCGCTCACGTGCCCAGATCCAACAGCCGATGTTCCAGTCCAACGTCAGCCCACACTCAGCAGACCCACTGCGTGGCTGGTGCGCCCTCCACACCCGGTCTGCGAGACACGCTCCGCAGTGTCGCCCACCCCCGCTGCTGCCGACAGACCGACTACGCGATAAGGGCGTCGACAGGCTGCGCCAGCGGGCGGGGCGGGGGCGTGGGCGGGCGCTGCGCCTGCGCCCCCTCCCCCACTCCAGCTCGCCAGCCAACCCTGACGCGTTCCACGCCGCTGCAGCCGGGGCCTTCGTCACGAACAGGAGCCCGGTGACTTCACGGCAGGGTCGGGTTCGGGGCTCCACACAGTGTCCCTAACGTGACGCCGCACTGGGCTCCACGACGACACGGCAGGGTCGGGTTCGGGGCTCCTCAGTGTTCCTAACGTGACGCCGCACTGGGCTCCACGGCTCCACGGCAGGGTCGGGTTCGGGGCTCCTCAGTGTTCCTAACGTGACGCCACACTGGGCTCCACGGCTCCACGGCAGGGTCGGGTTCGGGGCTCCTCAGTGTTCCTAACGTGACGCCGCACTGGGCTCCACGGCTCCACGGCAGGTTCGGGTTCGGGGCTCCTCAGTGTCCCTAACGTGACGCCGCACTGGGCTCCACGGCTCCACGGCAGGTTCGGGTTCGGGGCTCCTCAGTGTTCCTAACGTGACGCCACACTGGGCTCCACGGCTCCACGGCAGGTTCGGGTTCGGGGCTCCTCAGTGTTCCTAACGTGACGCCGCACTGGGCTCCACGGCGGCAGCGGCAATAACCAACCCACGTGTCAGCAGAGCATCATTAAAGGTGTCCGAAGGGAGACGGAGGTGGGGTTTTGACATGTTTGCCCTTGGGAACCGCGAATCAACCAAGGATGTTGATCGGCACTCAGCCCGCGTCCAGTCGATTCGACGCGGTCGATTCGTAACGCCGCACCCATGTCTGCCACACACCCCGCGGCTCACGTCATGCAGTCATCGGTCATTGCTAGCTGCAGGATTCAGACAATTTGTGTGCTATGCTAATTGGTGTTATGATGGACAGTTAAAGAATATGCCGGTATAGATGCCGGTAACAAGCCATATTTTTCTATCGACGTGAGGCAACTGATAACGTCTGCTACAATGCCGCTGATACCAGGGAGCTTGATGCATTTACAGAGACCGCCATAAATTATGCCAATAGTAGGTGCATTTTCGCGGCATGATTGGACCTCAATCAGAAGAGCGCAGGGAGGGATCGATACATAGACGCGATTGAACTTGAGACTTCAATTCTTCTACAGCGGAGCTTTGTTCCTTTTGGAAGCGGCATTGCCTCCTCACCTCCTCCCCCTAAGCTTGCATCAGTTCTCTAAATACACCACTCAGATCACTAACACGACCGCAAGACCGCTAAACAGCAGCAACAAGCTGTCCCTTGATAGAAATCAGGTCTTTTCAGTACACAATGAATGCCGTGAAATTCCGCCTGAATGGTTGGTACATCTTCGGCAAAGCGCCTCATATGCACCACTGGTACCAGGCAGGTTGGCTGCAATAAATACGTCATGGGAGCATTGGACGACTAGCCAACAACGGGGCGCTGCTTCATTGCCGGGCATCGCTGCTTGTACGCCAAATGTCACACAACGCGCCTGGCAGCACCTGCAGCTCATACAACAGTACGTATCGTGTCGTATGGTCGTCAGGCATGGCAGGCTCATGTGAACGGGCGCCTGTGAAATGAACGACGTCCAAGCCCTTTACGTGAGTCTAAACTGGGGCACGGACACCAGGGCACGAATTTTCTTTATCGCCTGACGAGAACACATGTTTGTGACTGGAATCTTCTGACAATATTTTGACCCGATGTACCCCTTGTGTATCCGTGGCGTCAAGAAACAAGATTAAGCAATAAAAAAAGATTCGTGGTGACAATGGAAATGGATCAGAAATGGCGAGTTTTAAAAGATGTTACCTTGCAAACTACCTAAACAAAAGATGTTACCATACTAACCTTGCAAAAATGAACACATGTAGACAGTGAGCTATTGCAAACAACAACAGGATATATACATGATAAACGTTTTCCTTACAACTTCGGGAGATAAGCATTTTTGGGAGACCTATGTAACCAGGTACAAGCAGCAGCTGAAGCTGGCTACATCGCTGACAAGAGCACGCCTTGCTTGGCGCTTAATCCCCGGCCCTGCCCGCGGCTGTTACGAACCCACTTTTCTGCTTTCCGCTCGTTGGACATAAGTTTGCAGGCTGCAATAAAGCATCCGAAGGTTCACTTGCACAGGCTTCTCGCATTTTAACACTCGCAAAAAGCGTGCATCCTGGCCACAGCTATTCTCTGCATGTCGTGTGCAGGTGCGCCCATAGCACCACAGTTTTCCGCAGCATGTGTGTAAGCTGTCTATCATTTTGTGACTTTGACAACCTATTCATCTTCACCATAACGACAGACTTCGAAAAGTTAGGGAGAACGCTACGGCTGCAAGTGATAACTTGTAGCACATTCCAAAGCCGAAGACCATATCGTCTCATGTCTGTGTGCGCTGTAATATAGCTTGAATTTTTAAGCGTCATTAAAACAGTATATCATTTGGCGCCGCTGCAGGGTTCGGCACCAGTGAAGGTTTCCGACCAAAGATCATTTTGCGGCAGATGCAACTGTTATTTGATAAGCTGCTAAGCGGCGACAGGTAATACGCATGCTTTGAACTGTTTTCGCAGCGTTCCGCTTTGATAAGAAGCCTGAAGTGTACTACAGAAGCCCCGATCTCTCCGTTACTGTAGAGCTGAGACAAATCAAGCCGTGTTGGCACAACTAAAACCCGTCAGAACGCCTAGGTTCGAGGCTATAGCGGTCAATGACTCGACACTGATGCGCGGGTGTCTGCAGACGATCAAATATCGCAGCAAGGCGCGGCGCCGGCGGCGACGGAGTGCCACCTCAGACAGCCCGTTCTCAGCTGACCACTGGCAGACGGCAGGGCGTGACGTCCCTTGACCAAGCGGTGAAGGGGCCAACTGACTCCAACATAACCACGATTTATTTGTGGATGTGACATTTGTTATTTTTAAATTGAGCTTGATGCTGGATTGGCATGCCAATTACATAAAAGGGGCAAAAAACAAAAGCCGTGATTTGTTCTGTAAAAATAGGAAATGCTGTTCTATGCTGTGAAGGGTTATATTTGCCGAGCCCAAAAACTTAAACTGTGCTACACTGATACTGCATGATTATTCTTGCAGTGGGACATAATGGTCACACAATATTCTAATATTTTAGTTCACTAGAGATTTCGCCAAGCAATGAAAGGCAAGTTTGAAGATTTCAGTAAATTTCCAAGGTTTCCAACTCTAACAATGCTCAGCGATTTGTCACTGTCCATCCAATCTTCAAACTAAATGCAAAGCTACTCTTTCTGTGCGTCTGGTGCTGATAGTGTGAGGGTCACGACCATTAACCTTCATCCAGGCAAGCGTTCACACAAACTGCAGAACAGCCAGGCTGTATTGACACTCAAGCACATCATCACAATACCGGAACGTCGCAAAAGAGCTGGCTAACATTTTGTACATGATACGCCGACACAGTGCCCTCACAGCCCGTTCGCGGCCCACCATTGGCCACAGAGTGACGCCAGACACCGGCTCGCAGCGGCGGATACCGGGCGTCGCTGGCGGCGTGACGTCACCGCCGCGGAACGGCTGATGTCACCCCCGAGCCGCGCCGGCCCGCACGAGCGCCGTGACATCCCCCGGCCGGCGGCGGTGACGTCAGACGTCGGCCAGCAGGTCGTGCAGGCCGGGCTGGCCGGGCGGCGAGTCCAGGCGGCGCACCTCCGGCGTGGCGGCCGTAGACACGGCCTCCACGTCCACCTGCGCGCCGGCGCTCGGTCAGCGCCGCGGGCGGGAGGACACGTCCGCGACGGGCGGCGGAAACCGCACCCACGGGAGACGCGGCACGGCGCCAGAGATCACAGCAGTGGATCATTCATTCAGAGTTTGGCGAACAGCACGTCACAACAACAAACGAGAGCACGGCTCCGTCGCGACGTTAGATGCCCGGCCCAGCAAAACTCGCGCTGTACACAGCTAAACCCAGAATGAGGCGGGGACAAAGAAAGGTTTTGCGGCGTTTAAGTGCGGCGATTGCGTACACCGAATACGAGACCACAAGCGAACAGCTAAATGCAGGGATACTACGCGTCTCGTAAACTTCCACAGCTTCAGACCAAATGGCAGGTTCCATTCATCACCTTAGGATCATAACCGTTTCGTTTCGTGTGGCACTGAAGCCACCAATGGGACATAGGCAGGAGAGAGGGGTGGGGAAGGGAGGGGAGGGGTCTCGCCGGCCGGCACACTCACCTCCTCGTGCGAGCTGGGGTTGTCGGGACTGCCGGTGACCGGGCCCAGGCCGAGCGCCTTGCGCACGGCAGCTGTCGGCGCCAGCTCGCCCGGGGCCGTCTGGCGCGCCATCGCTGTCAGGCGACCCACTACCGCGTCCGCTGCCAGCGACCCGGACACGAGCGGCGTCAGCCGACAGTGGCGGCCCGCGGCGCACGGCCGGAACAGCTCGGTCACCGGCCCCTCGCTCTTGGCAGACTCAACACAAAGCGTTTCACAAGTCTTCTTAATACCATATGACAGAGGTCTCCGCAGCGTAATTGTCGCGCACGCGCGGCTTTCCCATTTATTCCATTTTTCCCCTCATCCCGAATTCATACGATGTATATACACGCACATCTGCGTTGCCCTCCCTCCACAGCTAAGCATTTTCTCGCCATCTCCATCCCCTCGCATCTCCATGCCAGCCCTGTCCCCTGCTGGGAAGGCGCCGCCGGTCCCGACTGACCCAGCTCTGTCCCTTGCTTGGAAAGCGCCGCCGGTCCCGTCTCCCCGACTGACCCAGCTCGGTCTCCTGCTGCGAGGGCGCCGCCGGTGCCGTGTCGGGCGGCTGACTGAGGCGGCGCCGCTGTATTTCGCTCAGCGAGGCGATCAGCTCGGACGTCTGGTCCAGCCGGCCCGGCGCCTCCTGGCCACGTCGCTCCTCACTCTCTGGGGCACACGCAAGAGCCGACGGTCAGACCCGGCACCAGCGAGACTCGCGTGCATGTAGCGAGCCGTGCTGAGGGTCGAACGCCGAGGAGAGACAAGTGGACTTTACGCGTCAGCTCTAACGAACCTGCTGCCATAGAGTGGAAATGTAGGAAGGCCACCACGCGAAAGCTTGTAATGTGAGATTAATACGAAGACGACGCTCGACACTCCAAACTGCATCCTCACCAATCGCATCCAGAAAGCTGACGTCGATGCCGAGCGAGGACAGCGACTTGAGCGCCGCGAAGTCCACCTGTTGGCCGGTGGGCGCAGCCGGGGCTGCCACGGCGGCCGCCAGGGCGGCGCTGACCAGGCGCTCCTCCATGGCCAGCTGGCGGTGCTGTTCGAGCACCTGCTGCGCAGGTCGATGCCGTCCGTCCGTCAGGATGTCCAGCAGGTTGTCCACCATTTCGGTGGCCATGTAGCACCCATCCGCGAACTGGCGCACACTGAAGGCGGAGGCAGGCGCCATCAGCCCAGCAGATGAATGCGGACGGCTATGCAGGCCGGCAGACTAAACAGTGGCAGTAAGACACCGACCCTCTGCTTCACACTGTCCTGTATCCCTGCAGCGCCTCGCTTCCCCGCGGGCGTGCTGCAGACGTCCTGTATCCCTGCAGCGCCTCGTTTCCCCGCGGGCGTGCTGCAGACGTCCTGTATCCCTGCAGCGCCTCGCTTCCTCGTGGGCGTGCTGCGGCCGTCAGCCATCAGGCGGCGTCGCGGGCGAACCGACCGAGAATAACTCTGAGCACGCGTGCCAACGGCGGGGCAGGGTCGTGCCGGGGCGGGGTACGCGCCGGCGTCGCATACTGTTACAAACAGAACCTCCACAGCAACGCTACACATGCCAACGAGCTTTTAGAATGAAACGCTCCGCGCCAACTTAACAAAATCAAAGGCAATAAAAAGATGGCTGGCGAACCGGCCAGGTTCAACAATGTCATCAGTTGGCTGGGTACATCACTCGACAGCAGGATCGCGACAGCGCAGAACTGCACGAACCGAGAGCGCAAACTCGGGGACGGACCACGGAGCCAGTCTGAAAGCCCGTCTCCAGTGCACTTAACACAGGACGTGCGACGCATTTGAATTGGTCCTTAGAAAGAGATTTCCAGGTAGATCGGAAGGGATAACGATAACCATATTTCCACAGAATTCAGTCTGTGATCAAAGGGGTCACACACCTTGTGTTGAATCATCCAGCTTTTGCAACCGTTCAGCTCACTGAGCGACATCCTAGGCCGTCAGGTACCCCCCCCCCCCCCCTAAGTAACCAGGAGAGGTGTCCACCACCGCGGTCGTCCCAGGCCGGTTGTTCTCCAGCCTGCCACACGGCACCCTACCTCTGGGCGTGCCGCTCGCACGTCTCGTCAACGTGCAGCATCTCACCTTTGGGCGTACTGCTGGCACGTCTCGTCGCCGTACGTCTGAGCCAGCAGCTCGGACTCTTCCACGCTGATGTTGGCGAAGGCGGAGTCGTAGCAGGGCCCGTACGAGCCGTACGGCCCGTGGTGCACAGGCTTCACTGCAACAGGATAGAGGAGGCGCGTCAGCAGCACGCGGGGTCCCAGGGCGGCCATGAACCACTCCCGATGGTGGTGGCAAGAGGCGCCATCGTCCAGCCCTTCTCCACAACCCGATCAACAAGGCCTATGCGTACCGGTGCAATACACATGTATGTGCTGAAGCAGCTGACGTGCCTCCGTTCTCGCCGGCCCGCTCGTCTGTCCACGTACCGGGTTTGGTGATGTTGCGTTTGTCCTCCCTGAATCCGGCCGGGTGGGCCGTGCCCTGCGAGAGCCGGCCCGTCAGCACGCCCAGAGACACGGGCTTCTCCTCGCCGCTCTCCCCCTCCGCCGGGGTCAGGATCGACAGCGACGTGCTGCCATCTGGCCGCTGACGCAGGAACCCCAGCTGCCGACAACGGCCACGGTAATGAGCGCGAAGTGCAAGCTGTGGCAATATGCAATGACGGCGAGTCATAGCTCGATTGGTCGCCGGAAAACTGGTGAGTGCCTAACCAACCAATCACCTAAAAACATTTCCACAAAGGTGGGAGCAGCATGCTGCACATATGTCACGTGATAACCTGTTCAATCTGAGGGAGGCTGGACCAATGGTTAACACGGATGAGATAGTTGCTAAAACGCCGCGCTACAATACAAGGGCATGCGGCGGTCCAGCGGCGCCGCCATGTCCAGAGATACGACGAGGCACCTCTGTATCTCGCGCTGATACACAGCATCAGCCAGGCGACACGCACAGCTGCCGACCAGTGATAGCGTTCACAGATCACGGGTGCTAACCAGTTCAGCATCAGAATAATGCGAGCTGACAGTACAGCAGTACACCACCACAGACAGGCTGATCAGCCGCAGGTCACAGCCGCGAATGCCGGACGAAGATGACGCATGGCACGCGTAACGCCGACAGACGGGGGGGGGGGGGGGTGTAGTGGAGACGCCCACCTTGGGTACCGTTGTCCGGGCGGCCAGCCTCTCGGCCGCACGCCGAGCAGCCGCCTGCGCCTGCTGCAAGATCTCCTCCGCCTCCGCCTCCTCATCTACCGGCTCCGGCACGCTGGCCAATCGCAACGGCGCTCACGTCACCCACGGCCAATCATCGCTAACCCTCGTTGAAACAGCCATATCCGCCGGCCAATCATGGCGGCGCGCACTTCACCGACAGCCCATATCATGCCACGTAACTCACACGATAAAGCGCTCTATGCAATGTTAAAAACAATCACGTTAACAACCAATCACACTGTAACACGAATCACATCAAGAACTACACACAGGCGTGGCATTACGGCAGGCCGATCATATCCGTGACAGCTGCGACAGCTACAAGGCAGCATGCCACCCATCATCACCGAGAAGTTCTCAAACCTCTGTGGTCCTCGAACCTCATCGGTCCACGACAGAGCGCAGTCACAATTCTTTTCAAAGTCAAAGCCGAAAGAAATGAAGCAGAACGCTTCTTCAGTGCAGCTCTTGGGCTCGCGAATCAGAGGCACATTGAGCGTGTGGTCTACATGTCAATGCTCTCCCACTATGTCGTAGAGCAGGCGTGACGAGGTCCCAAGGTATGTTATGCGTCGCAGGACAAGGGATGGCCAGCAATTCCGAGATACCGGATCCGAGCCTTAACCGAGGAAAGATCAAACCATCTAACCCGGCTGCTGATAGAGCGGGAGTGCCATTTACAATTTGCTTATGCCGTCTGTTTATATGTGTTACCTTTCTTATGCATTTATTACTCGTTCACAGCTAATTCACAACAATTTATCCACATGCAAAATTCGCGAAAACTGCGAAAACGTTCCATTTCGTGGCGGACGGCACAATCGCGCCATGTCGATAGCCATCGTGCTTTTAGGCGCGCCGCCAGTCGGGGTCGCTTCGCGCAGAGTTCAGCAGCAGATAGAACAAATAGCAGGGTTAGTACCCCTCCCTCACCTCCGAGCATCCACACATCACATAAGTGATGTGAATGACATGCCGAGTCCACGCAAGAATGTGCTCTGGTGATTCCTCCGCGCATATTTCGAATTCCTTGGTTCGTGAAGCCGGCGTCAAAATGGCTCTTTCTCCGCCCCTGGCCACGCTCGGCGCGGCTGCTGCGACATCGCCGCGGACCACAGTCCAGGTGTGACAGTGACCTGATCTCAAACTGTGCCCTGAGCATCACGGTGGTGAAGTGCAGGTCATCACATCGGAGGCTCCTACCTTTTGCAGGCGCCGAGCGCTGCGCCGCCAGCTAGCTTTTCTAATCTAACGTACGGCCGTTTGAATATGAACCCGCTGCAATGGACAAACAAGCACCAATCACCGGAGCGTTCCACACGGCCTGGGCGAGACAGTCAGCTGGGGGCCGTCCCGGAGGCGCCAGCTGACGGCGGCAGCGGCGAGCGCTGGTGGGAGGCCGGCTGCCGGCTGCAGCGCCGCCAGCGTCCGGGGTCTCACACAATCAGGCGGCCAACTGGCTCGCCCAGCCGGCTCCGACGGGCGGGCGCCACCAACAGGGCCATCGTTCAACAGCTGCACATGCCACTGTTACACCGCCGCACCGCCCCAGCCACCGACCAGCCCGTGTTTGGGGCAGGTCCATCAGACAAAAGCTACCAATGAAAGCAATACTGTGTCGGTGACGATCCTCAGGATGCAAGCCAGGCACGACCGAGCCCAAACTACGCCTACAAGCACCGACAAAAGCGAACGGGCCGGCGCTATCGTCAGCTCAGCAAGCTGGGGGCGCACAATATATGTACACATGGGATTCGCGGCCCATCATACATCGGACATGCGATACTCATCCACAACCTTTCCACAGTTAGGAGTGCTCAGAGCTGCTGACTTGTATCCCCAGTGTATTGGTTATTGTATGCAGCATAGAACCGAGCCAGGTTTAAAACCAGTTAAATGTGTATGTAGTGTAAATAATGCAGCCTGGATTCTATTCGTGATAGCTAGCAATACACTCGGGCTTTAGTGACCTTTGCAGACCTCTTCTGCACGTAACACCCACAATGAAGCGCCGAAATGTAGGTGTCTCGGCCCGACCGCTCCGCACCCAGAACAGCGAGCCTCGGAGGTGACTCCGTCCTTAATGAGTGGCAGATGACCGCCACAGTGACAGCCAGCAGCGTCCTTGAATGAAAATGGCTTGACACAGCATTGACGTGTGACCTATTTGTCATGGTTCACGTGTAAACTACTCGTCTCTCTCTGGACCGTGGCCTGGGCCGGGCCCCTCTCTCCTGACCTCTCTCCACCAAGGCCCTCGCCCCTGCGCCTCGTTAGTTCCCGGCATGTATCATCTATCTCCTGAGCCGTGACCTGAGCAGCGTCCTGAGCCACTGTCAGGCGTGACCTGACCTCAGCTGTGCCCCGGGCGCGTGCTGACCTGAGTCGCTCGGCGACCGGCTCGGCGGCCTCGGCCGGCGGCGGCCGCGGCGGCGCCGGCTCCACCTGGAAACCGAGCACGTCTGCGCCCAAGTCGATCATGGCCGGCACCACCGACCGCAGGCTGGCCAGCTTGTCTGGGCTCATCATCTGACGGCAGACGCGTCATCTCATCACCATGCTCACACCGATATGACTGGTCATTACATCTGGACTGGCTGTGTGAGGAGGAAGAGCAGAAGGCCTGCGATCGCCGAGGTGACGCGGATACATCGCAGCGGCCCGGCCACCCAGGGCAATCCATCGACACTGCAGACCCTGCGCCACACGCTCGTCTGTTCTCGCCCGTCGGGCTCGGGACAGCAGCGATAAACGGAGCAAGGGGGGGGGGGGGGGAGGTCGACATACACGTCCCATACCGCTGGACTTGATTCTGAGCATGGAATCCCAAAACACGCTCACTTCATGTGTGATGCAGGGGCCGGATGTCACGGAAACACACACACAATATACGAATGTTGGACCACCTAGATAACTTGTTTGGTGACTGGTGACTTAAGGCTCTAGTCTATGCATGCCATCACAATGCGCGTGCACAATGCTGCCACGCTGGGACGTGGCAGCAAATGCCGTCGGCGAATCAGAGCTGGCCCGGAGGGCCACACGTCTATTTCGATACGTCACCACAATCCATGCCACTTTTAGAGGACAAACATACAGACCCCATGTTTTTAAAGACCAACGCCCCATGAGTCTCTGAAGGCCGATAGCCCGGCCAGCAGCCATCATGATTGTCGCCCCTGTCCGGCGACGTGTGGTGAATCGGAGCCGCGTCCCACCTTGGAGCCGATGTGCAGCAGCCGCTTAGCCGCCTTGAAGTAGATGGTGTCGGCGCGGTTGTAGGCCATGGCGTTGGAGCACATCAGCCGGAAGTCGCTCTGTCAGAGCGGTGAGAGGTGGCTCAACTCACAGCAACGAGACGTGCGGCATCCGATGACGCCGAGGAGGGAGTGGTGAGAGGCGGCTCAACCCACAACAACGAGACACACGGCATCCAATGCCGCCGAGAAGGGAGCGGTGAGAAGTGGCTTAACTCACAGCAACGAGACGTGCGGCATCCGATGACGCCATGGAGGGAGCGGTGAGAGGCGGCTCAACCCACAGCAACGAGATGTGTGGCATCCGATGACGCCGAGGAGGGAGCGGTGAGAGGCGGCTTACCTTACAGTAACGAGATGTGTGGCATACGATGACGCCGTGGAGCTTAGGTAAGCTGACTAGACACCCGCGCGTTAGAATGACAACACGAAGTCACTCAAAACCAGATTCAACAAAGCCACACTCGCGAACAACAGGCTTGCCAATCACAATCACAAGCCAGTGCTATGGTGGGTGCAGGCGTCATCGCAGGACTATGACTTCGTTTGAATTCAATATTACGCATCAGAACGGCAAAGCTCCTCCACGCTCCAGACACCCAGAGCTCACTGTCGTATACTGAGCACGGCGATTTAAGGAAGGGTAGGGCTGAGTCACGGATCCGCACCGCCCCACAGTGCCGTGGCCCGGGCCGCCGGCTCTGACCTGGAAGGAGGCCAGGCTGGGGTAGCGGTCGGCCTCGATCTTGGCGCGCATGGTACTGAAGTCCATCGGGTGGCGGATAACGTTGGAGTAGCCGGGCGCCAGCGCGTCGGTGACGGGCGCCGTGAAGAACCGCTGCGTGTCCTTCTTCTCCAGGCCCTTGAGCAGGTACTCGAGGAAGCGCTGCAGCGAGCTCTTGGCCGGCCGCTGCTCCCGCTCGGCAGCCTGCGGCCAGCCGGGCGCGGCAGCCGGCATCGGCGCCGGCGCCGGCGCCGGCGGCAGCGAGGCAGCGGGCACGAACACAGGGGTGGCGTTGGTAGTGGGGACGGAGATGGAGGCGAGGACGGGAACGGGGTCGGAGACAGGGACGTGGGCAGGGACGGGGATGCGGACGGGGACGGGTGCGGGGACGGGGACGGGGACGGGGACGGGGACGGGGACTTCAGGCGTCGGCGTCGGTCCGTGCGGCTCGGGCGGTGGCGCCGTATCCTGCTCGGCGAGCGGCGGCACGGACGGCGGCTCCGGAGAGGAGGCGGTGCCCTGGCTGAGCGGCTCGGTGCCGGAGCTTAGCCGCGACGTCTCCTCCAGGCCGCATGCCCACACCGCCTCCAGGTGACGCCGCTCCTGGCCGACCGTCACACAGCCGTCACCATCACAACAGTCACCGTCTCTGATATCCAGCAGGGCATGCCACTGAGTGGCGTTTCTCCTGATGGACATTAGAAGCAATGAGCTTTCCCAGTGGCAGGAGCTTAACTCACATGTTTTGAACAATCTAACACCTTAACCCACTTAGGCAAATAGGCCCACAGATGAAAATGTGAAGGACTGACCTTGAAACAAACAAACTCGGGCATACAAATGCCGGTCAAACGCACATGTACCTTCTTGTGTCTGTGACGTTCCCTGTCTCTGTCCTTGTCCTTCTTCTTTTTCTTCTTGTGTTTCTTCTCCTTCCGCTGTGTCTCAGCCTCATTGATGGCGGCCATGCTGAACCTGAGTGGGGCGACCGCCGGCGGCGGCGTCACCGAGCGGGGCTCATGGTCGGGAGTGAGTGCGACGCCCACCTTCAACACCAGCCGGAGGCCGGCTGGTCGGCTCACCGGCATTTCTGCAACCAGCCAACAGGCTTTGTCAGGGAGCTACTCTGGTGCTTATGTAGGATAACCAAATATGCAGACCTTTGTGGTTGACTGCCCATGCTTTTAAATGGTCATGAACAAGCACTGGTGCTGATCATCACCAACAAAGATGCAGTAGCTCAAGCACCATTCCTACACATAAATGTCCAACAAAACAGCTGATGATTACATGATCACACCATGGAGCTGTAGCATTGCCCCCAACAAGTGTCTGCTTCTGAAATAGATGAACCTTGGACCTTCATAGGTGAAGTGGAAGTTGAAAAAACACACAGTAAAAGCAATGTAAACATCAACATTTATTTGCATACATAACCTCTCTGATCTGGTTACAATGGTAGTAGATGCATTTGGCCTTGGTCTGGTGCAGTGATGATGGGCTTGTGGACCAAAAGTTTTTGGGCAAAATATGAACTACCAAGAATCACCATTTTAAGATCAATGCCTGCAAGTTCTACTTTCGTAGAAGCCTAATGGTATGCCTTCTCACATTAGACATGTGAAGTGCAAAACTCACCACAGGAACAAAAGAGCTGGCCACAAATTAAACAGGACTTTTACTAGCATACCATACATTCAGTGTTCAGTAATTAGGCACACTGTAACCTTGGCCACTTTGAAATTTCATTTTCAAACAGCTGATCTGAGGTGATCACTCTTAGGGTGTCAAAACTCAGCTTCTGCAGACATTTCAGAGCTCTCTTAAGTGGTTCAGTGAGCATGGAGGAAGTTAGAGGCTGGCAAAATGCATATAAGTGCCAAAAATTCTCCACACACAAAAAATCATGTCATATGTATGATGAAGGGGGCAGACCTCTCTGAGCATTCATCATAAAAAATCAAAAGAGCTGTTTTTGCCGATGAAATAAACAAAACAGGCCTACCAGGGCCTAAGGAATCGTGTCCCCCTACCCTGGATGGATCCCTGAACAGTATGGCTGCTGGCTACATTTTTCTATCCTCAGAATATGATAAGAGAATCAAATGGTGCCCAAAGCAATCTCATTTGAAGTGACCAGCACCCACTTTTCACTTATTGAGTCCTGTATTAATACAGCTCTTAACTGTCCCATTACTGCTTGCCAAGGTGACAGTCAACTGGGGAAAAAATGTTAGCACACATACTGGTGACACCTGCTTAGATCAGCATGGTAGTGATGCAAAGCTAGAGTATGCCCTGCAATGACTGGGTGGGCATCACCAGCGCCATTCCCCAGCAATCACTGAAGGTCAATTTGGGAAACATGGCCACCAATGCATTCCAGCTACCTGCATTCCAGAAGGCTATGAAGCCAGCCTAAATTTTGGAGAGTGTAGCATCCTGATGCATAGCCACCTTCCATATAGGAGAGTGACTGTGTGTAATACATATAAGCCCTCCATTCTGGGGGATGAATACTCAGAGGTTCCTGTATGACAGGCATGACAGCGTTGCAGTGTCACATATCACATTTAGGTCTTCTGGCTAATTTATGGTGTCTTTCCTCTTGAGCCCTTTTGTACGCAAATGGATACAAAAGGGCTCAAAAAGGATGCAAATATAGGGAGCCACGAACGTACCTCCAATAAGGCCGCACAACAGCGATGATAATGCGTACATATTCCACCCACCTTCATAACGCTCCCGCCTATCAGACCTATCAGACTTATGCTTTTTGTGCTTCTTTTCCTTGCCCATCTCGCGGTCCCCTCAGCGCATAAATGCCTCCGTCAGGACACGTCCACCCGAACAGCGCTAAAGCTCCTTGGCATAATCTTGGGTGTGCATAAAGCTCATCACTTATGGCGCAGTGGATGCATTTTTGGCGCAACATTCCATTGTTTTGCTTGTTTCACACCATTTATTCATCAAGGTGTTAGAGTGCCACAGTGGCGGCATAAGCCATATTGCCAACCAGGTGAACAGTTAAGTTCGAAGCTAGTTGGGTAACAACTTGGATGTTATCACGTAGACGGTGTAGCAGCGAGGGCGACGGATTTTTGCTTTCACTGGACCAAGGCTATCCAACGACCCAACGTCATCCAGGCGCCGGACCCAACGACCCAGGCACCGGACCCAGTGCCATCTGATGTGGAAAGTCTTCAGAACATAACGGAAACGTAAAACCGTTTTTTAATGTACATTCAAACCCAAAAGCAATCAAGACGACGTGGAATATGGAGCAAAAGCTTGTAAAACACAAGTCTTATTTGCCTTTATTCCACCAGATTTAATTTAGCAGCCCAGATTTTCAAGGCGTCGATGCTGTTTGTTTACATTCCGCGGCACACGAGCTCAAGGCGCGGTATGCGCGAGGGGCGGGAGGGCGGGTTGGTGTGAGTTCAGGTACAGATACGCGTTGTTACATTATCTTGAAGCTACATGTACGGTTATAGTAAGTTTATAGCTCAACCAAGGTGTAACCTCCGCGGTCTGCAGCTGCAATGAGCATAATAAAGTACGAACGTGCGGAGCTGGAGAACAGCGATTTAGGGGATCACGTGGGTTGAATTGTCAGTTTTTGCTTTCATGGGCACTTCTAGGTTCCAGCTCCCTGTGGAGTAGGCTGCCACACTTGAGATGAAAATCGTGTATCTTTTTACTCGCTTAACGGTCGGTCCTATGTTAACTATCGTAGGTTGCATGAGATGTGCTCAATTGTGAATTTTGAGTCCAAGTTGGGAATAGGTATTTATGGCTTCCACATTCATCATTTCTGCCATGCTATGTGCACCTTTATGACCCATTAACCTGCCCAACACAAAGGCATTGGTAAGAAACAAATTATCTCCAGGCACTCACATGGTTTATCCACTTCCACACCAAACAACAATTATATGTGAGGGATGGGCAATGTAACTGTCGAAGTAAAAAGCATTCTGGACCATGGCCAAAATTCTGATCATAACTGACCATAGGTGTGGTAGTAAGGTCAGTTTTCATAATGGGAATTTGACACCACTGGCATCATCACCACAACACCCTCTCCATCATCACCCTGCAGGTCATCTTACGGCGAAGTAAATATGCCATTTGAGTACCTGTGCTTATCGTTTACTGGGTTGCGGCTCGGTGTTTTCGGTTCGGGTATGATGTCAGGTGTCGCTTGGCGGGTTACTGGGCCGAAAATTGTGCACCGATTTCATCGGGGAGACGGTCGATGGCGGCGTTTTCCTCGCGCCCGTCAGCATCGACGAGTTGGCGACCAGCTGCATGCTGGGACCGATCGCACCCGGGAAGGACGTTGTGCTGAGTGTGCTGGCCTGAGTGGGGAATCGAAGATC